CTCCCCCTGCTATGTATTCACCAGCCAGCCACCAGTCCCCTGCCAGACTATTGAACACGTCTTTGTTAGTAGATCTTCCAGCCTTACACCTTGCCTGATCACAGCCTCCGGACCTCGTTTTTTCGCCTGACCCCTGCCTAGGACTCTGCCTGCCATCCCGACCCTCGCCTGTCTTTGACCTTTTCTCTAGTCTGCTCCATTCATCTGCTTCGCCTCGTTCTGGTTTTTGACCGACGCTTCCTCTCCGACTCTGTCTCCAGCCTCTCACTCCTCTGTAACACCATATCCAAAAAAGACTTTTTATTAACTTTTGCTGTGTTTGGTGTCATCACGGGTCTTCCAAGTTCTGGTCGTGACAGTTTCAGCAATATTTAGCTTTACGATTCAAAGTGGACTCTGCTGAGTTCACGATGCTAGCTTAAACTTATGTGCTAACATCACAATATTGTACAGATTACTTTCGTGTACCAGAAAGTTAAAATAGTATCGGTCAGTTAACTTAATATTAATACAAATGAGCGTCTGTCAGCGGTCTCATACTCGTTAATATCCGTTCACCTAACGTAGTTTAATGCTTTAGAGAGAGGGAGAGCTTCCGGTTCTGGAGCTCATGCGGGCTTCTGTGAGCTGGATTCGACCCAGACACCAGCAGGCCAGTCCAGTTGGTATTTTTAAAAGCTGCACATGATCCTCTCCTGGTTGTACAGGCGGCGGTTCTGATCCGGTTCCGACCCGGAAACCAACTGTCCTGCTGAGCTGCGCATCTCTTCTGGTGGTCGGTTCTGACCTGGTTCTGATGGTGATCTGAGCTCCAGAAATCCACATTTCATTTTGTAAACCCCACCACGGGTCTCTGGAGCCCAGCGTGGACCTCTCTGTCCCGGTACCGAGTGATGTGGGATACAGAAGTCCGTCTTTCAGCTGCAGAAACACCCTCAGGCACGGAGATAGAGGTGTTGTTTCTCTTATCTGGAAACCCTTGGACTCAATGTCCAGACAGGCTGGAGTTGGTACAGCCTTCACAAACTATAGTTTATCAACATAAATATAACCCAAAACAAGTAAACACACACACTGACTGGATAACATGACCTCTCTACCCTTAAACTAGCCACTCTCCACACTGAGCTGAGGCAGCGCCTAGCTTCTAACTCCCTTTGGTTACGTCAGAGGTTCAGATTTAGAAAAAAGAGCCATTTTAGAAACTATGCTGAGAAAGGACACTTTTTACTAGAAAAACAGCTGCTGTGTATTTTAAAATTAAATATTCAAGATAAACATTTCAAATAGGATTTTTTGGACAGCATTTTATATGAATTAGAAATTTTTTTACCTGCAATTTGCTCTTTAACGATTTCTAGGGAAGTCATTGTACCAAACGTAAAATATAAAGCTGTTTTTATTTTGAGCATCAAGTGGCCCGAGGATCTGGTCTCTGCTTTTTGCAGATGATGCGGTCCTGTTGGCTTCATCAGAATGTGATCTCTGGCTTTCGCTGGAGCGATCCACAGTCGAGAGTGAAGCAGCTGGGATGAGAATTTGCTCCTTTAAATCTGAGACCGTCGGAAAAGGGTAGAATGCCTTCTCTGGGTCAGGGACGAGGTTCTGTCTCAGGTAGAAGTTTTTAGGTATCTCGGGATCTTGTTCACGAGTGAGGGAAAGATGGAGTGTGAGATCGATAGGCGGATTGGTGCTACCTCAGCAGAGATGCGGGCGTTGTACCAGTCTGTTGTGGTGAAAAGATCTACCGGTTGATCTGCGTTCCTACCCTCACCTATGTCACGAGCTTTGGGTAGTGATTAAAAGAACAAGATCAAGCGGCTGAAATTAGTTTTCTTTGCAGGGTGTCTGGGCTATCTCCTTAGAGATAGGTTGAGAAGCTCGGTCATCCGGGAGGGGCTCAGAGTAGATCTGCTGCTCCTCCACATGGAGAGGAGCCAGTTGAGGTGGCTCGGGTATGTGGTTAGGATGCCTCCTGGACGCCTCCCTGGTGAGGTTTTCTGGACACCTCCAATGGGGAAAAGACCTAAAGGAAGACCCAGGACATGCTGGAGGGACCATGTCTCTCGGCTGGCCAGGGAACATCTTGAGATTACCCCGGAGGTCCAACTGGCTGGGGAGAGGGAAGTCTGGGTCTCCCTGCGTAGGCTGCTGCCCCCACGACCCAGCTCTGGATAAGCAGAAGAAAATGGATGGATGAAGATCCTCACACCAAATAATGGGGTCTTACTCATCCCGTTTTTAAATGAGCGCTTCTGCAGCTGCATCCTATGGTTGCAGCTCCACCCATCACTTTATTAGAGACCTGTGGTCAGCAGAGACCTGAGCACTGACGCTGTTCTGCTTACTCAGGTAGAAAATCCCTTTGAGTTTGTGCTCTTAATTGAATAGAGCGTCTCCGGAGAGGCAGAGCTGCAGGAGCACGGTCCTGCTCTCAGCGCTGCCCTTCACACTCAGATGTTTGCTCATGACTCAGTGATGCGGGAATCCATTTGTCTTCCGGTCTTGATTAATGACGGATAAGTACAGTGCAGCATTAAGTGGAACATTTCGATTGCACGTGTACACTTGCATTCTCTTTGATCTTTACCAGAGCACTTAAGAGGATGGAAGACAAACGGCTCAGATTGCAGGAGTTGGTGGTTCTTGCAGAGTATGGACAGATTTGATGTATATATATTTACAAAGACACTGAGCCTTTTTATCAAGAGCGTAGGATGTGTTTGGCACCTGGCAGGGCTGATTTAATCCTCTCTCTCAAGTGTGGGGAACAAAATGTTGGCCGGTGATATAACTGAGCCCACGAGTGACCGCTGTGGAGTCAGTGACATTTACATTTTTATGTTTTCTGTTTCGTCCTTGTTTCCTGTAGTTGTAGCCTCTTACTACTCATTTTCACCTGCAGTTAATTTCCTGCTCTTAGTTTAAACTTAAGGCATTTAGTTTCTATGATGTTTGAGTGACACACTTGGCTGCATTGATCTAGCAGAGCTGATTAGATTAGGTGATTTATTTTTCCCTATTTCAAATATGTTAAAGTCATTAACCTAAGCATGCATTTTAAAAATCTCACTCATAAGGGTTATTAAAGGTCACATTCATGTTCAGTCTAAAGACTTGGAAAATGTGCTGTTTTTCACATCATTCTTGTGATGCCTCCAGTGTTTTAGGGTCACTCTGAGTTTTTCATGCAGACTGAACATGAAAACAGTCCCGTACACCTATCTCCCACCTTAGCTTCTGATAGAAAATAGACGTCAAACTCTAGGACAGGGGCCTCCAACATGTCGCTCGCGAACTACCAGCAGCCCCCAACGCTCTTGAAAGTCGCCCACCTGGAAGCATATTCATCTCGCATGACTTTTAAATCTGATGGCAAGCTGTCCCCTTTTTCTGTAATACCTAATCTAAAATCTGTGGAAATAAAAAAAAATCCGATTATTGCACAGATCTTTTGACAAACATGTTCTAGTCTGTACTACTGGAAATGCGCAGGGGGTTAATCCAGCACGGATACCCGTTTCTTTCAACTATGAACGCCACGGCTGGAGCTGTGGGTGGAAAGAAGACTGGGTGACATCTATCATACAGACCTGGTTTGGGTTTAAGGAGTCTGATGTTGAGCTGAAAAACATCCTCACTAAAATATTCTACAGATAATGGGCTATCTGCATATTGGCTCATTAATGAAAATTGATTTCTTTATTAACACATGACGAACAGGCTTCCAATCTTTGTGGACGTCTGTGATTTAGTTTCAACAAATGTTCCTCAACTGTTTTCAGCTGATTGTTCCATTTAGTAACAAAACATGATTGTGATCGCTCGCTCTGCTCTGCCTTGTGCAGCGGTCAGACCTGGATCAGCTGATCTAGAAGCAGGGAAATGGGATTAACCTTCAATTTTATGTTAATATTGTCAACAAAAAACACAGCAAGGCATCATTTTACCTGCAGTTGTTCACTGATGAAGCAAAACTTGATTAAAACGTATTAAATGAATCAGGAAAGCAGGGAGAAATGTTATTTCTGTTTTTACATACATCACTGAGTTCAAGCTATTTAGAATTTTATGTTTTCATCACATTTTATTTAAAACATCTTCTTTATTCATTTTATGAGAAACCTTGTGTTGCATTGTTTGGAAACATAACCATGACAAAATTACTTGAAGGGTTTGTATTAAATGCCTTTTAACAAACTTTAAATGCTCTTTAAAAGTCATTCTACAGCATTTGAAAGTTTTTGTTCATTTATGACTAAATAGCTGAACACTAAGGAAAACTGGCATTGCTGCTTAGGCTCTTTCGATGTCTAAAAGTAGTTCACGGTCTCCAAAAGTTTGGAGACCCCTGATCTAGGATTTGAAAAGCCAAACTTTCATGGACTCACCAATTTTGACTCACGACAGGGAAGGCTGATGTTGTTTTGAAGTCTGGAAATCGGCAGCGGACGTCTTGGCTAGTAGAAGCTAATTGTTAGCATTAGCATTTTCACCACACAGCACAAGCTCCTTCACTTGTGTTATTTGTGGAGAAAAAAAATCAATGTTGCAAGTCAGTGGTAGTCGTCTTCCTGTTATCAATCCGAGACAGATGTCCAGAGATCAGGAAATAAGATTCCAAAACCTGCCGTCTGAAGCTCAGCTGAGATGTGGATAACTCATGGTGCACCGGTATGACCACTGCAAATGTATTCATTCAATGAGTGAACATTTTAAAGCTGTAACATGTTTGTAGTTGTTTAAAGATTGCAGTAATACTCCGTGTTTCTGGCCTCGCTCGAACTACCCACTATAGCCAGTCTGAACTCACCTTTGTTTCTCCAAACTGAGGTTGTTCTATAACAGACTAGAATAAGTATCTAGTAATGATCTTTCCACAGAACCTGTCTTCAGCACATCGAGCCACTGGTGGAGTTGTTACTCTCAGCGTTTTTTTCTTTTTGATGAGTTAAAACAAAACCAGAGCAGCTGACTCAGCTTGTATCTTCTCTGTCCAGGGGCCCTAACAGTCGGTCTAGTCCGGCAGTGTCAGACCATACACGGACGAGAACGGACTTGTATCCCGCCTCGGCTGCCTCCCGAGTGGGTCACCACTCTTTTCTTCATCATCATGGGCATCATCTCACTCACGGTCACCTGTGGACTACTAGTGGCGTCACATTGGCGTCGGGAGGCCACCAAATATGCCCGCTGGATCGCCTTCACTGGCAGTAAGTGAACACTCTGATGACATAGTTGTCCTAAAAAATTGACACCTTTCCCTGGAATTCTCCTACTTCCCTCTCAGTCTCACTACATCTGTTCTGACTTTACTTGTAGGAAACTTTCCAAATTAATCCATGTATGAATATTACTGCAGAAGAAACAAGTCTTGTTTGAATTACTGTGGGAAAAATTAAATTAAATTAAATTGAATTCAAAAATACTTCGTTAATCCCAGAGGCAAAATTAGAGTTTCAGTACACACAATTCTGAGATTAGACATACATACATAGACACATGACAAGAATTGGTGACTGTGGTCATTCACAACCTGAGTCGCGCTACCATAATAGATCAAGAGGGTTTACATGAGGATAGAGTCAGGGGGAGGGGAAAAAAGGCACTTCAGAGTTACCCTCCACAGAGAGGGCAGCTTTGCTATGCAAAAAACACCTCAGACAGATATGCACACAGACTTCAGACATTACACAACATAAGTGTCCACTAGGTGGGGAGGTAGGGTTGGGACTCTCCTCACTTCAGTGCATGCAGCCGCATGGAGCAGTGCTCAACACCTCCGTTTGGACAGAGGAGGGAGATAATGGGTTAGAGAGCACATTGACTCCTAGATACGGTTCACGGCCTTCACCGGTCATGGTCCCGCCCAGGCTGGGATAGGGAGAAAGAGTTTCCATAGCGATGACAGCATTCCACATTTCTTCTGATGGGGGAGTTATAACTTCAGCCTCACAGGCTCCAAGGGCACCAGATTCAGGTAAAAATTGTTTTGGGGACAGACAGAGATACTTTCCTCTCTGCCTTAGTGTTCTGTTGGTCTTCAACCCCTCTAGATCCAATAATGGCGTAATTAATCAATCCCAATCCGTGCTGATCCGTCCACTCGCTCCTTGATGGAATCCACCTTCTGTGCCAGAGCCTGAATCTCAGCCAAAGTTCCAAGCCTACGACTCATCTCGACAATTATATGAGTTTGTGCGTTCACAGCACGATGCATTCCATCCCTGAGCGCCGGGATTGAGCCAGTATTCCTCAAAAGCTTGTTAATTTTCCGGTAAGCCAGGTAACCGCTCAGGCCAAACAGCAGGAATCCCGACACCAAAACGACAAATATCCAAACATCTTCAGAATCCTCTACAGATAGTTGAGAAAGGCACATCAGGTTCCACTTTTTCCAGGAGTCCATGATACACCCAGCTGGCTCTGTCCCAGAGGGGCAGCCGGGAGCCCCTTCTCCCATTCTCATCGTTGAAAAATTTTTGTCAATCGCATTGAGAGACCAACTGACCAGATCCATTTTTAATAATCTCCAGTTTCCAGAAAAAATGCAGAAAGCGCCGTGCACACAAGACAGGAGAAAGAGCCTTGGGATGAGGAGGGAGGGAGAGGAGACAAAAGCGTCTGTACTCCCCAAGAGCTGGAAGAAGAAGAAGGGGTTCCAGCTCTGTTTTGATTAAAAATTTAATTTAATAGGCTGTGAATAGACATATATATTTAAGTTTGTGTGTGTGTGTGTGTGTGTTTGACAGTGACTCTTGTTCCTTTAAGCTGAATAATGAAGCACTGCAGCGTGTTGGGAGCTCCAGCGGGGAGTTCGTGTGACTGCATGGTTCCTCTAGGATTTCATCTCCATCTTTGCCTTGAACAACGTATTTTATTCACTCAAGTCTTCGACATCGAAGCACATGTAACTCTCGACATGATCCCACATCCATCTTGTGCACTGTGCTGGTTTTCTGAAGCCGTGTGGGACGGTGGGGTTTGATTGGTCAGCCAGCTGAGGGAAGCAACAGCCCAGCTCCTACAGATGGAGCGGTGGTATGTGGAGCCACGATGGCTCGTGTTATTGTTAGAAAGCTGGAAGCATTTTTCAAGGTGCTGGCACAGGAAGAACTGGTCTGTAGATTAGCACAAACACACAACTGATTTGTTGTGGGGGTTTTGCCCAGGTCTCAGGCTGTTTTTTTTTTGGGTAACTCTTCCTAATCAGCTGATGAATCCCCCTCTTTCAGGATCCCAAACTACTCCACAATCTTCCCCTTTGGTAGGTGAACGCTGAGTCATTGTTTACTAGTAGGGATGTCCCGAGATCGGATCGGGACGATTTTTTTTTTCATGTTTCTCAGTGATCAGAGATCGTCAGTTAAAACTGACGAGTCTTGCCGATCTCCCGAAATAGACAATGAGCGCGTTAGCATATGTTACTTCTGGGGGGAACTCCTGTAGAGGGCTCCATTTCCTGTGTGATAGTCTTGCCCTGTTTATGGTCGGGTGTTCCAAAAGAAGTCCCGCAGCAGCCGGGTCAGCACTGGGAGCTCGTCCATTTTATTGGGGAGAGAGAGCTGACGTTTCCCATAATCACAAAGGGTAGATACGGTTTATATCTCCGCTCTAGGGCCTGCACGACTTTATTTTTTTTAAAGTCGACAGTCAAGTAATGAAAGTCGAGTCGACTTTGACTAGTCGTTGATGACGTCATACGCCGGAAGCGGGGGGGGGGGGGGGGGGGGGTCGGTCGGTAGGTTCGCTGGAGTTTTTGACAATTAAAATTGCGCCCACATTTTCTAAGTTAACACATCTCTTTTAACAACGGTAGTTTCTGCATCCTACTTCAGTCCCCTCCCCCTGCGCAGCAGCCGCAAACTCACTGATGCGCCTGCAGCCTTTCCTGCTGCTCTAAACATTAAAATAATTATTTCATTTTCTGTTCCTCACTTCTGATTACCTTCAGTGGTGTCTGTTTGTTGCATCCACCAGGTACAAAAACGAACTTGTTTTTATTTGACTATTTTTCTGTCCTGCCTGTTTATCTTCCTGCATCTCCTCTCAATCCTAAAGAAAAACTGCTACCTGCGTTCATATATATTCACCCTATGAGTTACCTTTGAACTGCAGTTCTAAAAGATCTACCGACCGCAAAAACAGCGGAGTGCCGCTGCTCGCCGGCCGACTACAACGGGACCGTTTTTGCTGCGGAGTTCATGCCGGAGCGGAGCGGAGTGGAGATAGTGGAATCTTGGGGGTGCGTCACCGGAGAACAAAACAGGTGAAGAGCCTCGCTCCGCAGCAGCGAAACGCATCAGGCACAAATAACAGACAGAAAACATGAAAGGAAATGAGCCGACATGAACGATCGCGTGTTTAATTTGTTTTTGAGGTGGTGACACCTGATTTGGCGGTGCTCAGGACGCAATGTCTGGAGCGCGCGTCAACGATCAGAGCTTTGCATGCGCAAACTGGTTAAGATTAGGATGGGGGTGAGGGGAAGGTTAAATTGCAAGAGGGAAAAGGTCACAGTTTGGTTAAATGTCCGTTTTACCGCCGGTGTCAGTACCGCACAGCGCGTCACCTCCGCCTCGATCCAGACGCGCAGGGGCTAATCACCTGCTGTCTTTTCCGAGGACTGCATCTTGTCAGTCATTATCACGTGACAGCGACTAGTTGATGACAGGCATAAAAAGTCACTACAGAGCCGTGAAGTCGACTAGTTCGTACAACCCCTACTCCGCTCCCTCTCCAGAGATTAATTCTGGAGGCAGAACCGGGTTTCCAGGGAGAGAGAGCCAGTGTAAGCAGCACCCTCAGCTGATCCCTGCAGTAAACAATCGATTCATGCGCGGAGCTGCACGAGTTTCCCAGAGCCCTTCCAGAAAGTTCCATAATCAGTACTGAACACCGTTTCCTCTCCTGGAGATTGCGTCCTGCTCTGCTTCATCTTCGTTTCTCCGTAATCCTGAAGACAGAACCGACGTTTCCCGTGGAGAAGTGAGCTTCAGTAAGAGAGCTAGCGTTAGCTGCACCCACCTTAAGGGCATATAAACATGCAAAGAATAAAAAGAGAGTAACGAAGCAAGAGCTGCCGCCCACCTCGTGCTTTCGGTAGCAAAGGCAAACTATCGGATTGGATTTGAAGTTAAAAGATCGGATCTGATAAGGGTCCTAAAATGCTGATCCCTACTTATTAGGCACATTTAAGGAGTTGTGCTTGTCCTCTTGTTGAGAGTTTAATGTCCACATCCAACAGGGTATATTCTTAGCCTAAAGTGGCAGTGTGTAGTTTCCTGGCACTAGGAGGCAGTACATACATTTCAGGGTAGTTTTACACCATATTGTTGTGACTGTTGCTAGTTTAAAATAACTTTACGGTGAACATTGTTACGGGTGGAACAGAAAGCATGCAACCTCGGCGTGACTCCTCAGACTTTCATGGTGCATCAGTTATCCAGAGAACGCAATGCAGATGCTAGTTTTCTGGATCTGCTCGGCGTCCTGCGCCTGCTGATGACGTCATCATACTATGGCAATACTATTCAGCCAAAAATATTATATCTGTTCTTCGATTCTGTTCTTTCACATGTTTCAGAAAGGTTTAGCAGTTTTGTTATTAAATTCGAGTTTCTTACTACCTAAATGTTTTTGAACGTGGTATCAAAACTTTCGTAAGTCGTGCGTCCAGCTAGTCATCTAGTGTGATGTCATCAACAGGCGCAGGACCCAGAGCAGGACAGAAGGAAACACGACGTCTAAAATGGCGTCTCCCAAAGAAGCTGCCAATATTTTTCAAAGACTGGACATCATTTTATTCATTTTCAACAACATTGTGATGGATATTTCCAGAGATTAGCAGTAAAAATACGCAACGTCTCTTTAAATATTTTATTATTTTAACTTGACGACAGATAATATGGCTCAATCATATGCTGTAAATAAAATGACAGGAAGTGACCTGACCTTTAGAGTTTAGTTTAAACTTAGCCCGCGATAGTTATTATATCAAGGTAAAATATTGACAATTTATGCACATGCATGCTCAAACTGTAAGGAGTGCAAATCCATTTACAGCTAGAAGCTCCATTAAAGTCCTCATTTCCCTCATTTTTCTGGCCAATTCTGCTTTCAAGTCCAGGTTTGAAGGTTTTTCCTGCATACAATCATATCAATATTATGGAAATCTGTAAAAAATAATAAACACCCATCAATCAGCTGCCATGTTCTGCTGACTCCAAACCGGTCACACCTTTAAAAGCACAGTTTCAGCTTCAAACCACTAGTTGAGGGAGATCACAGGGCAGCATCTGTAAGGTGGAGCGAACGGTGAGAAGTTCTGGTTGTTGCTCTTTAATGTCGTAACATGTTGTGTTGGTGAACCCAGCTGCATCTCCAGCTTAATTCATAATTACACCAAAGGAAGTTTAAAAAACTGGAGCCAATTAGTTAACAGATTCCTTGTTTGATCCTCGACTTCGTGAGGTTTGTTCCAACTTCCCGACTCCGCCTGACCTGGGCTTAGCTCAGCTGGAGCCGACTCACTTACATCATCAGCAGAGCGTCTCAGCACACTGCTCCTATGAATAAATGATCCTACCCATGTGGTCAGCACTCGTCTAACTGATCCCACTTGGGTTGAGGCGGATTTGGGAGTCCTCATATCTCTGCGTTCACTTTCACTCAAGGATCGGGGTTACACAGGCAAGCGGCGAATGCTTTAACACGCTTTGTCGTAACCTGATGAGCGCTGATGTCATGGAACGGGGTTAGGTCGCCCTGCGTCTCGTTTACATCAGAAGCCCGAGCTCCGATCTGGGAATGACTTCACACCGAACTGTTCAAATGAGAGTCAGAACACCAGTGAGAGTTTCTTTGTTCTCAGTGTTTTGTGTCCTTCCGAGACTTAGTTTGGATCTTTTATTTCTTTGGATTTGCAAAATATTTGTGCGATTAATCCGTTCTTTCTCTCTCTCTCCTTCCCTCCAGTGATCCTCTTCTGCATGGCAGCGCTCATCTTCCCAATAGGCTTCTACATCAACGAGGTGGGAGGTCAGCCGTACAAGCTGCCCAACAACACGGTGGTCGGCTCCTCGTACGTGCTGTTTGTCCTCTCCATCTTCTTCACCATAGTGGGACTGCTGTTTGCAGGGAAAGTTTGCCTTCCGGGCTGAGGACAGCACCGTGCCAGCCTCAGGACTGACATGAGAGGCTCTGAAAATTTAATGGGATTTACAAACAAGAACTGCAAATCAAAAACAACAAACTTTGCCCCGAAGCCTAAAACCAGGGAAGACTCCACTTGTGCGTCAAGGGACCGCAGCAGCATGGAGAACCCAACTACTAAAAGACCAATAAGTGAACAAAACAATAAAATGGGACATGAGCACAATCGGGTGGTGATGAGTGAGACGGAGGGCGGCCAACGCCGTGGCAGCACCCTGCTGTGGCTGATTTCTGATACAGCTTCCTCTGTTCTTGTTCCGCTGGATGGGGTGCTTAATGTGCCGCTGTCATGGCAACTGCAGCCACAGTGCTGGCACACTTCTCGAGGGCCACTACAGCCGCTCCTCCTCTTGATTTCCAGCCTCCCTCAGCACACGTCTGCTTCGTCACGACCGCTCCTGTTGCTATTTATGGCTTCTCTTTGCTATTTTCTGTTTTCTGTTGTACAATTTCTGATTCCCTTCTTCCACACCCCTCCACTTCTCCACTGAAGTAGCGTTAGTGTTGGGGTTCACTGAACCGAACTCTTGAACGCGGGGGATCTGTGGCAGTTGTCTGCCGTTCCGCGCGGCACCAGGTGTGAATAAAGGGGTGAGCAGCTGTTTGGCCAGCTGTGGATGAGAGGCAGATGCAGGTGGGCTTCCTCTTTATCTTCTCCAGCTCAGTTTTAGGAGCAGGTAGCAGCGCGGGGCGGCCTCCCCTGGCAGCAGAACGGGGGGTCCAGCACCCTTATGGAGATTTCCACTCAGTCTGAGAACAGAGTCATGTTTAAACAGACAGTAACAAAGTATTAGTGAGACAGCTCAGCTAAAGCCATTACGCCGCTGCACTGCCTCGGACTGAATCTAGCAAATAATCATCTGTAGTAACTTCAGTCACACGCACAGCCAGCGTTGCAAAATAATCTCTTAAGGTTTACATCTCTGTAGTGTTCAGATGGATCCTTACAGCTCTGACAGTGTTGATTCTTCTCTTTAAAAAGGAACAAAATGTTACATGTGGAGCGCAGATGACAGGTGGCGGGATTGTCCTTGAATTTTTAATAGGAAAAGTGAGCCAGCGACTGTTTTTTTTAGTTTTTTTACAGTGAAGGCAGTGGGACTGCAGGTCAGGTCCATGTACGGCACTGTGCCCCGGGATGCTGCTCGAGAGGTCTGTGAATGTAACACACACACACACACACACACACACACACACACATGCACGCATGCACGCACACACACACACATTCTGGTTTTTACCAGGTAATGGAAACATTTCAAACCTTTTTTCATAAATCCGAGTAGGAAATAACAAATCCTTCTGTTTTGATAGAGCTAACTTCAATTGATTGAGACAAATAGACTTTTTTTTGTTAAAATAAGTTTGTTAGAAAGGATTGTCTCATCTCAGAATTACAAAGGTTGTCGTAACCTTTGCTTGTCCAACCGGTAACTGACACCCTTTCCTGGTCTGTGAACTCACCAGTGTGGAGCACTGATTCACTCTCACTATAATAGATCTTCCACGCAGAAGTTTTTACTTCCAAAATCATAACTTTTCAGAAATGTTTTATTATAGTGTTTCATGAAGAACTTAGCCTGAGTCAGCATTGACCATCAAAACTAGAATTGGTGCATCGCTGTACTAAACCGTTCCTTCACCTGCAGACCTGAAAGCAAGGAGATCTCGTGTGAGGCCGCTCATCTGCAGAGGTTAAAGACAGTTGTGTCATACAGACGTTACAACAGCAGTGTCTAAATGTGTGAATGAAGCAAGTCATTATCAGAACATTCATGGTGGGCGATCGTGTGTGTGTGTGTGTGTGCGTGTGTGTGTGTGTGTTAACGATTCATCCTGGTTTCTGAAACAAAACCATTGCCTAATTTTTACATCCTGTTCTGCCTCTTGGTGCTCACTCTGGGGTATTTCTAATTCTAATAAAACATCCCTTCTTGCAAAATGAGCTGGCGCTTCTGGACTCAAGTCTTATTGATTCTTTGGCTCCTCGGATGTGAAGCGACTGTTAGCTGTGGGGCAGAAAGTGAGTATTTTTAGCCTGTTACGTCACAAATTTAAGAAATTTGCACCGTCACTATCAGTGTGAGCAGAACAGACGGGAGCAGTTCAGTGCGGAATAATGAAAAGAAACTCTTATTTCCTTTTCTGTAACTTGAATAAGGTATGGACCTCCTCGGTCTGTTGTCCCAGTAAAAGTGACACCTCCTTGTTCTTTTATTCACCAACTCTGGATTTCACTCTTTTAGGACTAACAAAGTTCACGACACTAATAGTGTGTGTGTGTGTATAGGTGTGTGTATGTGTGTGTATATATATATGTTTTATATATATATATATATGTATATATATATATATATATATGTTATATATATATATATATATATATATATATATATATATATATGTTATATATATATATATATTTATAAACATATATATATGTTATATACATATATATATATATAAATGTATATATATATATATATATATATATATATATTTATAAACATATATATGTTTATATATATATTTATAAACATATATATATGTTATATATATGTTTATATATATATACAAACATATATATATATATATATGTTATATATAAACATATATAACATATATATGTTATATATATATATATATATATATGTTTATATATTTATATATATATAAACATATATATATATATAACATATATATAATATATATAACATATACACTAAATATATACATATATATATGTTATATATATATATATATATTTATAAACATATATATATGTTATATACATATATATATATATATATATATATATATATATATTTATAAACATATATATATGTTTATATATATATTTATAAACATATATATATATGTTATATATATGTTTATATATATATATACAAACATATATATATATGTTATATATAAACATATATAACATATATATGTTATATATATATATATATGTTTATATATTTATATATATATAAACATATATATATATAACATATATATAATATATATAACATATACACTAAATATATACATATATATATATATATATGTATACACATACACACACAATATATATTTATACTCTATTGAAATTTACTATTGATTAAATCATCAAAGTACTTGCTGCCTCTTTCTTATTGATTAACCTCTTTTTAGCATTCATTAGAATTGGATGCTGTAAGCTCCGATCTCTCATGTGAGTGAGTGAGTGAGTGAGTAAGTGAGTGAGTGAGCGAGCGAGCGTGAAACATTCCTGGCCGCTCTGTTTTCTAAGTCTTAGGTTTTCTATTTCTGTTTCCAGCTCAGCTTCACTCTTCTCCTGGTCTGTTGATGTAAACAGCTAAACTATACACTCCGCCTCGGTTGGTTTAGTATCGTGCCATGACCTGTTTTTGTTTATTACTGTACAGACACACAAAGGCAGGATTTCTGTATTAGGAAGCACTGTGCGTTCAACAGTATAGGTAACAGACATAGAAGCACCACAAATGTATAAAAAAAGAGAACTTCTTACCTCATTGATTTTTTTTTTTGTTTTGTTTTGTTTTGTTTCTGCTATTATTTTCGAATGGTGGCAACGTGTGTGCCCTCTAATTTGTCTCTTGCCTTGATCGGATGTCTACACATGAAGCCTATGATCATCGGAAATTATTTATCACGGAATAAAAAAGGAAATGGGTGTGTGTGACTCTGATATTGTCTGTTGTGTTTTATTTAATAACTTCTAAGCAAACATGTCAAAGTTGGAATGGGTTTTATAATAAAACCTGGATGTTCTCCCTCTAAATCCAGTATCTGACTGGACTACAAGTACTGTAGTTAGAGAATTGGGAGAAAAAAGCTGAAATGGTAGATATGAATCAGTAAGGTGGGATGGATTATCTCAGCAAAGCAGAAGTGCTCACTATCACACATTTAGACTGATTTGTGAACAATGCTTGAGAGAAATGGTAATATTGTGCATCTGGAATGAATTTTAGATCTTTAAATCCATCTCATGAAAAATCGGAGCAGAAACAAAGGTGTTGCGTTTATATTTTTGTTGAGTGTAGCTGCAGCTGTTGCTATGGATACAGGACATGAATTTCGACCATAATCAGAGCTCCTCCAACTAATAATAATAATATTAATTAATAATAATACTTTACCAGTGATGTTTGAATGAAAAAATTATTTCACTCATGCTTTGAATAAATGAATGAATTTTGTGTAATATCTGACATCAAATATCTGTTGTTTTACTTCTGAATGACCAGAAATATGCAAATATATGATTTATGATGCAGACCAGTCTCTTTTAGGAGAATTCATAGAAAGTCATTAATAAATGGATCAAACATGTTTTTTGCACTTACAGCAGACACAAATCACAGTTACACTGTTAGACATTTTTCTTCAGTTCAATTTTAGTTTTTCTATAGAAATATGAAAATTTCTGTCTGAAGTTTTATTTTCTTTTTCCAACATCAAAATTGTTTTTTTTTTTTAATATAGCGCCAAATCTCGACAAGTCGTCTCAAGGCACTTCACACAGTAAACATTCCAATACACATCAGTTCATTAAGCCAATCAGTAAAACGTTACCTATATAAGGAACCCAGCAGATTGCATCTTATTACTTGATGTAATCCTCATACTAAGCAAACATTTAGCGACAGTGGAGAGGAAAACTCCTTTTTAACACAAAGAAACCTCCAGAGGATCCTGGCTCAGTATAAGCAGCCATCTGCCATGACTCACTGGGGATCAAGAAGACAGAACACACACACACACACACACACACACACACACACACACACACACACACACACACACACACACACAGTGACTTACAATTTATGACCTATAGGGCATGTTGTGATCTGTGGGGGAAGCCGGAGGAAACCCACGCATGCATGGGGAGAACACGCAACTCCACGCAGAAATGCCGCAGCCGAGTTTCGAACCTGCAACCTTCGTGCTGCGAGGCAACAGTGCTAACCACTGCGCCACCATTCAGCATAGAGCACAGAGAGATAAACTTTATTGTATTTATCCTAGTGAATCTATAATTAAATGGGTAAACTAGTAGTAGTACATTCAATGTCAAAGAGAGTTAATTTGTATTATCAGGAGAGGGAGAATGTTTAAGTGGTTAGCAACAATGTTCAAGCCGATGGCCCCCTCCATGAGGCTACCACAGCTCAGCAGAACATCATTGTAGCTTCTTTTGGGGAGAAAAACACTTAGAGAAAAAATAAAGTTAAAAGCTGAAATAGCAGGAAATAATACAGTTAAAGAGCAGATTGTAGAAGAAAGTAGTTGACTGTGGAAAGTGGTCAGTATGTCCTCCAGCAGTCTAGGCCTATAGCAGCATAACTACAGGGATAACTCTGGATAACCTAGCCTTTTAGATGGAGGCATGTTGGAGGCAGGGCAAGGGAGAGCCGTCTTTACCGACTGTACACTCCACCTCCCTCTACTCCCCCACTTGTCCAGATTTAGGCTAACATCAGATTTTAACCATAGGCCCCATCAAATAATTTAAGACCAGTCTTAAAAGTAGACAAGGTGTCTGCCTCATGGACTAAAGCTGGGAGCTGGTCCCACAGGAGAGGAGCCTGATAGCTAAAAGATCTGCCTCCCATCCTATTTTTAGATATTCTGGGAACCACCAGCAAACCTGCAGTCTGAGAGCGAAGTGCTCAGTTAGGAACATATGGAACAATCAGGTCACTGATGTATGATGGAGCTTGATTATTAAGAGCTTTATATGTGAGAAGGAGGATCTTAAAATCTATTCTGAATTTAACAGGTAGCCAATGTAGGAAAGTTAAGACAGGAGAGATATGAGCTCTCTTTTTAATTCTGATCAGAACTCTAGCTGCAGCATTATGGACCAGCTGAAGACTTTTAACTACATTCTGTGGACTTTCTGAGAGTAATGAATGACAGCAGTGGTTCCCACACTTATTTAGCCACGCACCCCCTTCTATGTCCCAACCATGTCGACGCACCCCCCAGCCCCATATCAGGGCATGGCTATGTATATATATATACATAGACGTCACGCTAAACCAGGGGTCGGCAACCTGTTCCCATCAAAGAGCCATTATTACCCGTTTCCCACAGTAAAGAAAACACTAGGAGCCACAGCAGCCATGGCGTTGTGGGCGGGGCCTACCCTCAGACAGCAGAGAGCTGCTTTAACCAATCACAACAGGTGACAGCAGCCGGTACCGGTCGCTCGTGTACGTCAAAGTTATCTTTCATAAGACGATAATCAATAAAACGATTTATATAAAATGGATCCAGAAGTTGTAGCCCGTCTCTGCCTACAATATTTTGATATTTTTCACCCTGTTGGTGGTTTTACTGAGCAGATGCCCCTTTTGTCATACGTTTCTTTTTAAAACATGTTTAGATTGTTCAGAATACAAATCCAGGCTCTGTCACGTTTGATTGTTGTAATTAAACTTTGTAGGTGGGGAAGGTCAGAAAAGGATCCGATCAATTTGTTTTTCCCTTGTTTACAGTGACTGAGACAACGGTGCAGTGCGCCTGGCTCTGGTGTTAATCAAGTTAAATTATATCTCTTTGCAACAATTCTCACAAGAAAACAGAACAGTCAAAAGCAGGGCTTGTGTTGTGTTGACCGGATAGTTCCCGTATTTGGCTGTTTATTTTGACGGAGAAAGAATAGAAAGAATTACCCCGACGCATGCAGACGAACTGACACTTTATTCGTTATGCACATCGCAGATGTAGCTAAATCACTCAAGAAAAGATTTCCTTCTGAACATCTGAGCTGGACGCTGCTCAGCGCAGCTCACCTTCAGCGCGTACATAAGGTCCACAGCCAAGGCCGGATCAACCATATGGGCAACTGGGCAATTGCTCAGGGCCCACAAACTCTAAAGGGCCCAGGGCAGCAAGGGCACGAGC